CCCCCCCCCCCCAGTGCACAAATTTTTGTGCACCGGGCCTCTAGTCTATATATATAAAAGCCTAAGTGACCCTTACGACCAGTCGGCCAAATGACCCGTCAACCAACCACTATGACACGCACTGACCACCTGGGGGCAGACGCTCAATGCAGGAGCTGCCCCCTGGTGGTCAATGGGCTCCCACAGCCAACCTCTCGTGGCCAGACAACCTCCTGCTGCCGGCCAACCTCCCACAGTCCCCCTGACCAGCAGGCCAACCTCCCACGGTCCCTCCCACCGGCCAGCCAACCCCAGTCGGGACTGGGCAAGATGGCCCTGATCGGCCCCGATTGCCAGCCAGGCTGAGGGGCCCCACCTATGCACAAATCCATGCATTGGGCCTCTAGTGTTGAATAAGAGTGGTGAAAGCAGATATCCCTGTCATGTTTTCAATCTTAAGGAAAACACTTTTAGTCTTCCCTCTTTGAGTATGATTTTAGCTATCTGTGGGTTTGTCATATATGGCCTTTATTATGTTGAGATATGTTCCCTCTCTTCCCAGTTCGCTGAGAGTTTTTACCATAAATGCATGCTGGATTTTGTCATGCTTTTTCTGTATCTATTGATATGATCATATAATTTTTATCCTTCATTTTGTTTATTTGTGTATCACAATTGATTTGTGGATATTGTACCAACCTTGCATCCCAGGAAAAAGTCTAACTTGATCACAGTTTATGATCTATTTAATGTGTTATTGAGTTCAGTTTGCTAATATTTTGTTGAGGATTTATATATATACACTGAGTGGCCAGATTATTATGACCACCTGACATTTGTAGGCAAATTAGCTATAATTTCGCACTGAAGTTGCTAGAGGGCCAGATCATTATAAACGTCTGAATAGCACAACATACCTAAGTATCATTGCTGATCAAGTTCATCCTATCATGCTGATGGCGTATCCCAAAGGAGTCTTCCAACAAGACAATGCGCCATGCCACGGTGCTTGTATTGTGCAGGAGTGGTTTCAGGAACATGAGGGAGACTTTACCTTGCTTAGGTGGCCCCCCCAATCAACAGATCTCAATCCAGTTGAGCATTTGTGGGACGAAGTTAAAAGAGCCATCAGGCAGCTGGTTCCACAACCATCAAATCTCACAGAACTGGACAGTGCTATTCATCAGGCATGGTGTCAGATTCCTCGCATCACCTCCTTTCAACACGTGGAGTCAATGCCAAGAAGAATCGCCGCAGTATTGAAGGCAAAAGGTGGCCCAACAAAGTATTGATGGGGTGGTCATAATACTCTGGCCGGTCATAATAATCTGGCCACTCAGTGTATATGTTCATTAGTGATATTGGCCTAAATTTTGTTTCTTTGTAGTATCTTTATCTGGTTTTGGAATCAGGATAATGTCCTTGTTAAATGAGCTTGGGAGTCTTCCCTCCTTTTGAATTTTTTAGAATAGTTTGAGCAGGATAAGTTTAATTCTTCTTTGAATGTTTGGTAATGTTTACCTGTGAAGCCATCCTGTCCAGGACTTTTATTTATTGGTAGCTTTTTTATTACTGCTTCAGTTTCATTGGTTGATATAGGAGCATTTTAAATCTTTCTATATATCAAATCATTTCATCCTTGAGCATGCTATATTTTTCATTTTATTTGGTCATTTTTCATGTCTTTCAATAAAGTTTTGAACTTTTTGTAAAATTATTTTATATCTTTTGTTAGATATATTCCAGGTGTCTTATAATTATTTCAGTTGTAAGTTTTATCTTTCAAAATTTTTATTTTCTAATTGCTGCTATTTAGGAGCTTCACTGACCTTTGTATGTCATCCTATATCCAGCAATTTTTATTAGTGCTAATAGTTTGTCTTTTCCACTGAATTTTTTGTGTATAGAGTCATCATCTGCAAATAACAATTTTATTACCTTTTCCATCCTCATGCAGTGTAAACTTATTTAAAAATTTAAAGTGTTAGTGATATATCTTAAATAATAACATAACGTAATAAAACCCACAAAAATATACCAGTCACATGGAGTATTAAAAAACCCTTGATTCTGTGAATTACTAAATACTTACAATCTCTTTAGTCTTTTCAATTCTACCTAGTTTGTGTATATATAGTTATATTACTATGATAAAATTCATTGCACATTGGAATATTCAAAGAGAAAAAAATGTCAAGCAGTTATAAGAGAACTAACTGGAAACAATTCTATTTTATGCTTCTAGTATTCAGGCTTTTACATATGATTTTTATAGAAAGTCTAATAATGTACAGAGGGAATAAATACTTTGATGAATAAATTTAAAATCTTACAATTTAGTTAAAGGGGGAGATAGAGAATAAAAGCATATAGTAGTAGAGGTAAAAATGATTATATAGTTAGGCAGTTGCTTTAATGTTTATATATTTTTGTCATCTCAAGGTCACACTAGACAAAAAGTAGAAGAAGCTCTTATTAATGAAGAAGCAATTTTGAACCTCATGGAAAATAGCCAGACTTTTCAGCCTTTGACCCAAAGACTGAGTGAGACACCAGTTTTCTGTAAGTAACAATTCTACCATAAATTTTCAGTATTTTAAATCAATGAAAGTGCATATGTGAAGAAGTTATTTTTTTCTTTGATTTGAAGAGGTTAATGTTGCATGTTCAATAAATCCTTACTCAGTATAAAAATGAAACCTCATTGAATGAAGTAGCTTTGTTTTTGTTTTCTACACAGCTTTTTCTAAACAATTGTAAAAGAATATAGTAACCTTTTTAAAAATTCACTTTAGTTGAAGGAAAACCATATTGCTTTAGGGGGGAAATGGCTTATTTTGAATTAAAATTCTCCAGTGTTAAGTATATTAATAAATTATCATAATTGAGTCTTTCTTGGTGAGTATCAGAAATTTCCCTGGACAGTTCTTTTCAAGTGATTAATTTTTGGTCAGTGTAGGACATAATGACTTATTTCTGAGTGTCTTTGAATCTCCTTAAATGCCATTTGCTATATTTCATTTCAGTAATTTAGTCTAAATTACTGACATCCTTTTCAAAAATTTTTTAAAAATGTTTTTGCAAAAAGTGAGATATCATTGAACTTCATGCTTCTTGTTTTGCTTGGTGTAGTGATTTTATGTTTCTTTCCTTGCTTTTTTTTAAATTTTTTTTTAAAAATTAATTTCAGAGCAGAAGGGAGAAGGAGAGAGAAAGAGAAACATCAATGATGAAAGAGAATCATTGGTCGGCTGCCTCCAGCATGCCTCACAGGGGATTGAGCCTGCAACCCAGGCATGTGCCCTGACCAGGAATCGAACAGTGACATGGTTCATAGGTCGACGCTCAATCACTGAGCCACGCTGGCAGGGCTACTTTCTATTTTTTTTTTCTCGTTGTATCAAATGAGATATGGCATCAAATGCATCATACCTCTCTACAGTGTCCTGTTTCTTTTACCTACAGTTTCTCTTTTTTTTTCCTTTTTATTGAATTTATTGAGATGATACTAGTTGACAAAATTATACAGGCTTCAGGTGCACAATTTTACATCATCTGCACATTGTATTGTGTATTCATCACCCCATGTCAAGTCTCCTTTCTTCACCATTAACCCCTCTCCTTACCCTCTTCCAACTCCTCCTATACCTTTCTCCACCTCCCTCTTCCCCCTCTCCCTGGGAATCACCACACACTTGTCCGTGTCCATGCCTGCTCTCTGAGTCTATCTCTATTTTGCTTCATTTTCATTTGGATGGAACATGAATTGACTAGCTAGGGATAATACCAAAATTATTATGCATAGTCATATTTCAAGAACATTTTAGACAGGAGTAAGAAAATTTTTTAAATGAATGGCATATGCAGAAAGAAATGATGCAAAGACCAAAGTAAAAAATTAAATTGATGCTCATACTCTAAAATGTTTTATTTTTTCA